GGTGATAGACAATAGTCTAGTTTCATTCTTTTGCAGGTGGCTTTCCAGTTTTCCCAGTACCATTTATATGAGACTTTCCTTTCCACTGTATGTTTTTGGGGGTTTTTTTGTTGAAAATTATTTGCCTATATAAATATAGGTTTACTTCTGGACTCTCAATTCTGTTCCACTGGTCCGTGTGTCTATTTCTATGCCAATACCGTGCCGTTTTGATTGTCAGTTTGTAGTATAATTTGAAGTCAGGCAAAGTGATGCCTCCAGCCTCGTTCTTTTTTCTCAGGATGTAAAGTGTATCTTTTAAAATACTGCAGGATAGATTTTTACAGATGATCCATTTGAAAAATGCAATTAGTTGGTTAGAACACCAGTTGTAGAGTCCTGGTCTGTTTGAATCACAGCACTGTCCTCTACTAGTAACTTTAGGCAAGTTAACATTTCCAAGCTTTAGTTTTCTTATCTATTTTGTGAAGATTAAAAGAAATAATGTGTGTAAAGCTTCTGGTGTGTAACAAGTGTATAGTAAGTAAATGGAAGCTAGTCTCATAACGTTTATCTCCACTAGAGAGAGCTTTTACCTAATCAGGCCATCAGACTCTACCATTGATTTCTTCAAGAACCATATTCCACTCACTGCCTAGATCACCTTGATTAGATTTTGGGTGTTCCGAAAACCAACGTTTTCTGGTTTGTATCACTTTTGTAGATGGCTGATCTAAATGTTTTGATTCTACAGTTTAGGAGTTTGCTTGTAGCTGTCTTCTTGTTACCATCTATACCTTCCACTAAATTGAGGTGCCAGTTATACTAATGTCATCACATTTTGTTGCAACCTTTTAATTTAATCATTTAGGTTTCTAATATTAAAGCCTCTTTTTGGCTAGAGTTTGTTTTGCCACTTCTTATACCTGGTATCTTTTCTCTCCAAACATGTCATTGAATTTTTTGTCATTACTCTTACGAGGCTTCTATCGATTGCCAGGATGTTTTTGCACTGACTGGCATTCCCTCAATTTTTATTCTAAGCTCTGCCATTTTTTAAACTGGTGCCAATATGGTCACTTTTTGGTTCTTAGAGCTCATTCTTATAAAGTCAGCTCAGTTAAAGCCATAGGATCTCATAGATAGGAGGTATACTAGCTGCCTACCTTGGGCCTGTCGTAAGACACCATGAGGATCAAGATCCAGAATGTTGATTTCTGTCCACTCACACTGAGTTGACTGGTTCACACTAATCACATTAGCAGTTGAGTGGTTGATGTTCTGTTCCATATATTAATTGGCAGTGAGTGTAAACTAAGAAGACTAGAATAGTGCTAATCAACCCAAATTCTCTCTAAAAAGAGAGTAATATGGTTTCCCTTCTAGACCAGAGATTGGCAAAATACAACCCTTGGGGTTGCGAACTGTTTTTGTACATAATTTCTTCTTGTATCTCAGCCATTCATTCCCATTTATTTATTGTCTCTGGCTTCTTTATGCTACAGCAGCAATATTGATTGGTTGTGACAGAAACCAAATGGCTTATAAACCTAAAATATTATCTGGCCCTTTAAGCAAAAATTTTCCAACCCTTGATCTAAACTATCAAATTGCCAAATAATCTTGGTTTCAAAGGGAGCTGGATGAGCTTAAGGAATAGCACAATCAAACCATGTCTGATACACCCTTTTCCACTCTAGAATTGTACTATCATCAAAATACTTGAGTTCTGTTAGTAATTAACTTATTGAGCTTCCAGGCTTGGATACAAAGGTACATAGGACACTGCACAGTCTAAGCAGCTAACAGACATGTAAATAAATTATTATACATAGGACTCAACTTTTAACCAGTTTAGCAAAGTGCATAGGTTAATTATTGTTTCACTAGTGAATTGAAAAGAAAACTGGCCATTCTTTTTAATTTCATTTGTACCAATGGTGGTGGTAGTGGTAGTGATGGAAATTCAATATAATAATTCTAAAGTAAATCTAGAAAAATAATTAATGGAAATTAAAAATAAATCACAATGAAAAATAAATTAGCCCCAATCTTTATAAAGCTGCAAGTTTTAAAACTGATAGTGTGAGGGATAAGGCTAGAATATTAGAACAAGAGTGTAAACAGTGGTATATACATAGGAGTTTAATTAAAGAAGTATCTAAAATCATTAGTTACCCGGGTAACTGGTAAATGACATGGAGAAAAATAGCAAAAGAATTTTACCTCACATGATCTACCAAAATTGTGGATGGATATGTTGTTTTTAAAAAAAACAAACAGGAAAAACAATACAGTTCAATGAATTCCTCTGAAGAAGGAATTTCTGTTTACAAGCATGACAAAGGTGAAAATGGAACAAGTTTAACTACATGAAAATAAACTTTTTTGTAATTAAAAGCGCAAAAGAACTGTACATTCAAAAATGAGGTATGAATGGTCAAGCCTCGAAAAAAGGAAATGTTTAACTTCTCATTAGAAAATTGAGTTACAAGTTCAGTTTCCACTGAAATAACATTTTTTGATGTTACGCTCTATATTTGTTTGTGCTGCCACCAAAGACTGGGTGGCTTAAAATTTTTTTTTCAGTTATAGAGACTAGAAGTTGGGAGATAAGGTGTGGCCAGGGTTGTTTATGCTGAAGCCTGTCTTGTTGATAACCATCTGTGGTCTTTCCCCTCTCTGTGCTTGTGTCCTCATCTCTTTACAAACACAAACAGCAAGCAGTCTTTGGATTAGGGCCCTTAATGACCTCATTTAACCTTAATTAACCTCTGTAAAGGCCCTACTTACAAATAGTCACAGAGGTAGTGGCGGGTTGTGTGCACTAAAGAACACAGTTAATTTCATAAATGGTATATCTCAGGTTCCCAACTGACTGGATTTCAGCTTTGCTAAATTTAACCATTTTGGAAAGCAATTTTGGTAGTATGTATAAGATTTTTTTCAATGTCTTTCACCCTGTAATTTTGCTGATGAGTTCTAAAGAATTTAAAATATACTAAATTGCTCTTTGCACAAAGTCATTCACTCAGCTTTTACCTGTAGCAATATAGTTGAAGCCCATCTTGTAGACTGTTGTTAGGATTAATGAGAACATAAATACGGTGCTTGCACAATGACTAGCCCACTATGATTAGCTATTATCCTCCAAAGATGGATTCCCTGGGTTTACCTAACATTTAAATGTGCTGCTAAATATACAGTAGTAACTGAACAGGTATAAATTTCACAACTTAATTGTTCCCTCTGTGTCGGAAGCCAGCCGACCAAGTCAAACCGGGTACCTGAATGGGGGAGCGGGGACTGAGAAAAAAGAGAGGCCTCCCGAGACAATCCATGCACTCTTTTGAA